TTGCATGCCTGCAGGTCGACTCTAGAGGATCCCCGATCTTACTTCTTTCGTTATTTGTCAGGTTGGATCTTTTTTTTGAAGAATTCCAAAAAATACTGTTTCTTTGTAATTTTGAGTCTGCGCCTACTCGGAAAGATGGTTACAAAATGAAACCAATTTATCACTTTCTTGAAACAAACATCTTTATTTTTATCTTCAGAAATGCCGTAAATACGACACCTGGCACTTCAACCTTGATTATCTCAATTTCTAATAGAGATATCAAAACTTTGTTAACTGAAAAAATGTTTATCAGTTTATCACCAACATTTAATCAGTTATCAGATTTTTGATATCTCTTGATGGAACCGAGATAATTGAGCTTAAATTACTGTAACCACTATTTCAGCCAACAAAACTAGCCAATCTTCGCGAGAAACGAGGAATCAAGAAATTTTCGAAAAAATTCGGAAAATTTGCGGACACTTTCGGCAAAGCAGCACTTTCAAAAGTGGGAAGTAATGCACTGAAAAAAGCAGGACAAATGATTTTACCAACTTTTTCCTTGGGATAAATGTTTTAATTGTTCTGTTTTTTAATTGTATTTTTTGAGCTCAATTATCTCGGTTCCTATAAGAGATATCAAAATTTTGGCAACTGATAAAACATTGGTGATAATATGATAAACATTTTTTCAGTTGACAGATTTTTGATATCTCTCATAGGAACCGAGATAATTGGGCTCAAAGAGCACATATAGTGTTGTGAAACAATACACTTTTTTTTCTAAAAAATTTTCAGCCTTTTTTTATATTCCACGATCTAGAAAAAATTATGCTAAACGTTCTACGAAATCCACGAAACCTATTAAAAACCTTCTTTTTTCATCAGTTATCACACCTTATCACCCCTATCCCTTTAAAACATCATAATTTTATTCTCTGGTTCAAAGAGTTCCCATTAAGAATAATGGGATGTATCACAGGTACTACATTATCACTAAAACAAATGAACTACAGTAATCTTCAAAGGAACATGGCGCCTGGACCTCGGCCTGATGGTCCTCTACCAAATGACCCTCTTCTTTTCCGTTCAAATGCTTTTTGCCATTTTTCTGGAGTACATGCCGAAAACTTACTGTACTGATGGTAAGAGAACCTGGCGGGAATTTGAAAAATTCGAAAAAAAAAGTTTCAGATGACTATTGCTACAAAATGAAAAACAAGTGCCTAACGGACTTCATTCGCGAGGATGATAGCCAAATTTGTCCGTATAATTCTACAGATTTTGTATGTGTTTTTTTCAATCTTTTTTTGAATTTTTCAAAATTGTGCAGTAGAGCAAATTTTCTATTCCAGAAACAATGTGTTCTGGATGCCAAAAGAGTGGATTTTCGATCAGCTCAATTTGACTATCAACAGGATTGTACTGGTTTAAAGCAGTAAGTATACCGTATCCTTGAGCTCAATTATCTCAAATCTAGTCGGAGATATCAAAATGTTGTCAACTGATAAATTGTTCATCATAGCATAAACAATATTTTATCAGTTGACAAGTTTTTTGATATCTTTCACAGGAATCGAGATAATTGAGAAACATGGATGGGATTTTTCGACTATGACGCCGCGTCGCGGTGCTACGCGACACACGATAGTCTAAGTCTTGTGTACCCACCTCTGCAGTCGTAGCGCAGTAGGTAGCGCGCTAGTTTTTCGATCGAGAGCTCGTGGGTTCGAATCCGCCTAGGGGCTCATTACTTTTTTTTCTTTTTCCAGCTTCTCCTCTTCCACTGCCACTTTCATCGGAACCCTTCTTGGAAACCTCGTCCTTATATACCTCTCTGATACCATTGGCCGTCGTCCTGTGTTCATTTTCTCTATCGCACTTGGAGTTCCTGCTCTTATCCTATCAGCTGCTATCAATGGGGTCATGAACTTTTATATTTTCCGTTTTATTGTTGGATTCGCCGTTGCTGGAACGTTGACTGTCGGATGGACGTACTCATCGGAAATGATTACGCCAAGTCGCAGATTTAGATTGAGGACATTCCCGAATTGGGCGAGTTCTTTTACTTGAATACTTTCAGTTTCAAATTCAACCTAAACTAACTGTACAAAAATGGATATAATTGATCCTTACTGTTTAGATTACCGTAAAGACTTCAATAGAAGGTCACCCTATACTTTCCCGTTGAGCTCAATTATCTTAGTTCCAATAAGAGTTGTCAAAAATGTGTCAACTGATGAACTGTTTATCATAATATTGCCAACATATTATCTGTTG